AACTATTCTAAAATGTAACATATATAAGACTTATTGACTTTTCTGGTGCCTTGTGTCTCATCCATTACATAACGGCAGAATTCATTTCAGCTCAAAATAGCTGACTTGCGATTTTGTTTTCAAAACGATCAAAACTAGCGGCCCTACGGGCCGCTGTAAGTGGATCGGGGCAAATACATTAGTAATTGCTTAGTTGGGAATGCATCTAACTATAAACGGTGTTCACATCTCCTCTTTAGAGAAGCTAAATAACTGAAAAATCAAACTTCGCAGATAGGCACAAAAAATATATGATCTTTCCTTCAAATGCCACCACCAGATTTCAGTTATTAAATACAGCTTGCTTCTTTCGTTGCTTAGTCAAAATCAACATAATCGCTTCCCTAAAAGACTGACCAATGCAGATGCATGCTGAGTCTTCACTTCGGGAGCAAAAGCAAAATAAAAAACTCCAGAGCAAAGATGATTGGCAGTTGAAATTCAAACAGTAAGAGAAAGTCCCAGGAAAGCAAGGAAATCAAAAGCTGAGGTGGTTGGAGGTCGCGAGCAATGTGGCTTAAATTCCGTGGAAATCGAGGTTTTCACTGCTTTGTATGAAGATTGTGGGCGGGGGGGGGAGGGGAAACAAAACTTTTCGCTCCAAAAACAGGTCAACCAAAGAGAGAGTCTGCCGGAGCTCAACCAGCAAGACCACAGCTTCTATGGTGGGTCTTCATTTTGGGAGCAAAGGCATTTTCTGTGGCGGATTCTGTCGAAATCAAGGTTTTTACCGTTTTTGGTGGAAATTATGAGGCAAAACAAAAATTTTCGCTCCAAAAACTGGTCAACCAAAGAGAGAGTCTGCCGGAGCTCAACCAGCAAGACCACAGCTTCCATGCTGGGTCAACTTTTCGCTCTAAAAACTGACCAGTCGCAGAGAGAGACTGCGGAAAATCCATTTTTTGCTGTTCAGTTGCTTTTCGGATTGGGATTTTCGTCAACATTTCACAAATTGTTGATCTCTGACGACTATTCTAAGAAGAATCAAAATCCTCAGGTTTCACATCAAACTATTATGCAAAATGGCAAGGGAGGCAAGGAAATCTTTGGAATGAAGCTGGAGAATGTAGTTAGAGACATAAAAAGAGGTGGAACTTTGTATGTAAGCAGTAAAATTGCTCCAGTCACGAAAACCGTGATCAAACCGAGCATACGGTATTTCATCACAATTTGTCATCGCAGGCAAAGTCAAAACACGTGTCGTCATCGCATGCCGTGTAGGGTGCGATCAATTGACGAATGTCGAGACAACTCTCTACTCTCTAGCCTGTCTGCGAATAGGAGTACACCGCTCCTCTAAATTTCTCATCGTCCGTAACCTCTGCGAGAGAGTGTGATGTCTCGCGCGCTTACACTGTCAACAACTTCCCCTCCACAACGCTGAAGGGGGGGGGGGGGGGGTCAGGGTGGGAGAACGATGTATGGTTTTCGTCGTCTTTTCGGATGTTTCCAGTTATGTAAAGGATTCTGGCAGTTTTAATTAGATATGTGACTACCGCATTCAATTCAATAATCATTGATCCTAACGTTTGTACCCTATATTTAGGTATACACATCGCACCTTTTTTAAATTTTTAAGTAAGCTGCTCAGCCGCCTCACTGTGTTTTGGAAAGCAGTCCTTGTGCCGCATCTTCTCTCAGGCATATCTTGGATGCATAGAGCCAGGTACTCTGGTGACCTTCACTTTGAGCGACAGAAAAGAACACAGCATTCAAAAGTAAATAATCCGGGATGAAGCCCAGGATAATAATATCATATTTGGAATGAATGTAAATAAGTTAAGTCTAGTAAGCAAAGGCTCAAAAAGTCCCAGCAAAATCGAAAAATTGAGCTTTTATAGCGGGCTAAAACGAAGATTTTTTGTGAATTCTCTTGAAACTCAAGACAACGTTTGTCAATCGACTCTTTTTTTTACTAATGTTGAGTTTTAAAAACTCACGAGAGTTAATGTAATTCAATAAAGACGAGAAACTGCGCTTGAATCTTGTGAGAGAGTCGCGCACAAAAATGCTGGTTTATCTCTTTAAGAAGTGATTCTAAAGCTTGCGACGTTGTCAGTGCTTGTAGTCGTGTCATGGCGATCACATATGTACAGTTTCAGAGTTTCGTTGAGAAATCTGCGATCAGGGCCAAATGCCCCGTAGGCTCTGGTCTTTCTCCTCTGCTTGTTTACGTATCCGCGGTTGCGCGCTACCTCGTTACCCAAACGCGGGGCACGGGGCATTTGGCTCTGGTACCCCTTTCTGTACTAAGCTTATCCTAGCAACTGTATATCATATTAAAGCTCTTGACCCCTACTTTAACGCTGACAACGTCGCAAAACTTATTATCTGATTCGAACGAAAAATCTGGCAAAAACCGTGTTTTCAGAAAATCCCTTGCTTTTTCAGCTCTTTTCAAGCGGGCTTCTTGTGCATTCCATAGCTCTTGATTCCGTTCATTGTTAGACAATGCCGCTGGGCTAACTTCTTAATTATAGTGGAACATCTAGCAAAAGCTGCGAAAAGTGCGTTTTTGTTCATAGGCCTGTATTAGAGTTAGTAACCAACCATTTTTTGCACGCTTAAAGGCATTTTGCTCAGGATTACGAGCATGATAAAGTTGACAACGTCGCCCAGAACGGATACTACGGGAAGGTTTAAATTCGATGGACGCCTCAAAAACTGGGCCTTTGACGCCCATTTCGGAAAAAGACAAAACTTCATGCCTTTTTTACTAAAAGTTTCTCGTTTATTTTTTCTTGCCAACTCCCATTTTCAAAGCAAGTTTTTTTAACAATCACAGAGGAGAAACTAGATTCCTCTCGCTTTCTCCCCTCGTGTTGTGGATTGCCCGGTTCTAAAGCGAAAAGCCTGCAATCAAATGCCGCTCTGTTTGAATGAAACTTCAAACTGATTGCGGCGTTTTATTAGAATTCAAGGGCTTCTTCTGCTTTCGCTTATTGTTTCGCGTCTTCTTCTCTCTTTGATTTACTATGAACAACTTTCACTTTTTTGGGGGGCAGATAGCCAAAAACTTTCACTTTTGATGCCCTGATTCTAGGCTTTCAAAGATGTGCTTTCAGGCGATGCGCACAGGCCCTTTGGTAGGGAGTCCTATAGGGCCCTTTGGTTGCGGAGTCCTTTCGCTTTTGGGCTGGTCGAGTTGGAATTCTTTCGAGGCTTATACACTTGAAAATATGGTAAAAAAAGAAAACTTCTAGTTGTACTTCAATAACCTATACTATACATTTATTTATGTGAGAAGCACAGCGTCGTGCACAATAAAATTTTTCGCCTTTCCAATCTAACCGTGGAAGAAAACGTTTCCGGCGTCTATCAGGTTGTCCAGAAATTAGGTTTTGAATTTCAACCGCAATAAGTCATATACTTCTCATCTCTGAATAGATTGCAAGGTACCATTCGATAGAGCAAAGCAAGCTCTATATGAAGGCATCTTGCTGTTACAAAAGCTTTCATCCACCTCGAGTGCCGAGCTGAAAACTAAAAAGATCCAATTGCTTAAAAAATTGAGAGAAATCGTAACTCAGTTCATAAAAATACTACAAAAATTCTGACTTGCTCACGTAAACAATACCCACATAAGACATCTATATACGCCGTTGGCGTCTTTTTTCACCTATTGGAAACCAAGAAAACGGGAATTTTTATGCATTTTCCAAAGTGATGCTGTGCAGTCCCCACATGCGTAGTTATGTACTACAAAGTAAATTTTCAGCTGTCTACAAGCTTCAATTCCCGAGAAATCTGAATTTTTGCTTGGACCACCTGACTAGGGAAAGCCATATTCGATAATTCTCGAGAACCAAAGCTTGTAGAAAGCTAAAAATTTACATTTGTACTTCTACAGATTTGTAGTAACAACTACGCATGTTGGGACTGCACAGCATCACTTTAGAAAATGCACGAAAATTTCCATTTTCTTGGTTTCCAAAAGGTGAAAAAAGACGCCAACGGCGTACATAGACGTCTTATGTAAGTATTGTTTACGTGAGCAAGTTAGAATTTTTGTAGAATTTTTATGAATTGAGTTACGATTTTTCTCAATTTTTCGTGCAGCTTTATCATTTTAGTTTTTGGCTCGAAACTCAAGGTTTCTGAGAGCTGTTGCAAAAACAAGATTGTCATTCTGTAGTGCTTGCTTTGCTTTATCGAATGGTACCTTGCAACCATTCAGAAATGAGAAGTGTATGAATTATTGCTGTTGAAATTCGAAACCTGCATTAATTTCCGAACAACCTAATATAAATGTTTGTTGTAAAATCGTCCTAGGTAAGCTCAGAAGTTAGTGAGTTTTTCTTCTGACTGACCCGCAAATCGCTTAGAATGAAGAATGGTGACAGTCTACATACCATTCAATGCGGAAATTCGCTCTTTCTTGCAGCTAGTCTTTATCAAAAGGCTTTCTTGACACATTTAGTGATGCACGATGCTCCCACATCGTTCTTACTTTGTTCAAACCCTGATAAATTTCTAAATTTTCCTCCAATCTGATGCATGGAAACAATAGAATGTGTAAAGCATTTGCAGCGAATATTTTTTGCATTTTTCAGCTTTCACAGTTCTCACAAAATCCCTTAGCTATCAAAATTCAAGCTTCGTCCATCGAAAATCGTCTAACAGCAAGACATAAGCAGTTCGTATATTTCTTGCACATTTACTATTTTTTCATATAGCTTCTCTTCTCTACGATGTAAGCGGAAATAGTTGAAATGACGTATCTTTTGATCAGCAAAAAAAGTATAGGTATACTGTGTGAAGATCAAGTTGAAGTTTGTGGAACTTTCTGGAAGGAGATCTGATTTTTAAAGCAGTCGAAAAATCTTAGCTTTAGGCTCTTTACATTGATTGCCACTCGGGTGAACCTTGTGGTATGTAGATCTATGTTGCATGCAGTGTTGTATGTCTAATCTTCATTCCATTCTTGCGTCATTTATATGATTCACCACTACTTATCTCAGGGTGACAGTGGCGGAGGAGTAACAGCAAAGATTCGTGGAAGAAATTACTTGATGGGGGTAGCTATTGCGGGACCTCCTTGTGATATGGTTGCCAAAGATGTTAAAGCTCGTTCTCATCCACAGGCAAGCAAAGTTTTGAACATTGTTCCAATTCCAGACAACAAAACTTCGAAAAATTAGGACAGCCTCCTTTTTTCATTTGTTCACTGCTTTCATGATTTTAGACCTGCACTGACATTATGTACTACAAGAAGATGATCGGAACATGGATTCTGGCAAAAAGAAGTAGAAAACCCAAAGTTGTGAATCTACCTTACAAAAAGCTCCATCGTTTGCTTAAACCGATAACAAACCCATACTGGAAAAACGACCCATTGAGTAGCATTTTTTACCTACCCATATTTAATCCTTTCCCGATGTTTTGATGATGCTACTTTTGTTGTTATACACAAACCCGAAGAAGTAAGCACGACATCAAATGTGACAGACCATTTCTATCTAATGATAAACAAATCAAATCCAACTCAGATAAATAGCTCAGCTAGATGAAGTCCGAAATATGTCGAATTTTCATATCAAGTAGCAGAAAATTAAAGAAAATGAAAGAAATCGATAAAAGTGTCAAAAAAAGAAAAAAGAAAGCTATAAGTATGATGGCACTATATGCGTTTCAATGGTATGAATTAGTGCGCACCCGGGGTTCCACGCACCGTCTTCGAAACAAATTTTTTTGGTATGCTTCCTAAAATTTTTGCGGGCCCATAATCCCGAAATTCCAGAAAAATTTTTTCGTAAGACTAAATTAAGTTTTTAAAAATTTTCAAAAATGGTTTTGATTATTTACGAATGCAAACAAGTCATTTGCACATTTTTATAACTTACTAGTTGACTTACCCGGTTTCACCCGGCCCTGTCATTATTATATTCGTAATCAGCAGGCTCGATCACCCCCCTGTGCCAACTGCCAGCCCCGTAGCTCAAATTTTGCAAAAAATTGATAAAATCGATATCGATCGATGACGAAAAGTAGCCTATGACACCCGCTGGGGCCCGAAGTGTATGTGTGCCAAGTTTGGTCCGGATCGGTTCAAAAATGGAATTTTCTATTCGGAACATACGTACACACAGACAGACAGACATACATACAGACAAACAGACATTCAACTTTATATACTAGGTCGTTCCGAAAGTAATGTCGCTTTTTTCGAATGAACGCCACTATTCGTGGAATCAACATTTTCAAGAGATCTTAGGAGCATTCGATGCAGCATTTCGTCCTCTTTCTAACAGTTCTAAATTCACTGCATAACGTTTAATAAGCTCTCGAAAAATTACCAAAATCTGCGATTCATGCTTTTTGCCATGGTTAAGTTCGGCTATTTTTCTAAATTTTTGTACCTAATCTCCGAAAAAGTACAAGTGGCAGGTAGATAGAGCAAACACTATAGAACACAGAGTAATTTTATCTTTTCCTTAGCTTGCTTCTCAGAGTTTTCACAATCAATTTCTCAATGCCATCAAATTCCATATTTAGTCAAGTCAAACCTCACAGAACAACAACCGGCAAGCGACTCGGGTACCATTCGATGCAGCTTTTTCTCCTCTTTCTAGGGGTCGTTTTTGTTTCCGATTCATCAGGTTTTCCGGGATAAAATCATCATAACTCAACTTTTCCAAGGCACCCCAAGGTGTACCCGAAATTTTCGAAAGCGGCTAAACCAAAGCGGTGAATGCTCGTTTGGTTTGTAAAATTGTTGCCAAACCATAATCGATCTTCGTAAGTTTCAAAATCGGGAGACTTGTTGGCGTTTGATGCACTTGTGTCTGAGACGAGTCTGCTAAAATTCGGTGGTTCCATTAAGAAATCTATACAAAAATTATGACGAGCTCTGGAAAGTAGAAAAAAGTTGTGCTGTTTCCTGTAGGGTTTGCTTCATCCATCCATTACTTGGACTCCTTCTGAGGTTTGTTATAAAATTTTAGAAAAATTGTGAATCTTGGCCATCTCAAAAACCATAGGTCGCAGATTTTGACTCTTTTCTGGAAGCTCATTGTCTATATTGCAACTGCTTCATAACCATTAGAAAGAGAATGAAATGCTGCATCAAATGCTACCAGAATCTCTAACACATCTTTCTTCCACGAGATGTGGCATACGTTTGAAAAAAGCGACATTACCTTCGGAACGACCTAATATAAGATGTAAGTAACTCGCAAAAATCCCTTTCTCGGGGGGTGGGGGCATGCGCGGGGGGGGGTGCGCCCCTTCCTTCCCCCCCACCCCGCTCTTGGTACGGCACTGGTAAGCACGCATTCTTATCTACCGGTGCCTACAATCCTAAATACATTGCCTGCCACTCCTCACTTGACCTGACTAAAATACTCAATAATGCAGTCTCAATGGTTGCGCAAGGTTGAGCGTGGAGTGTGAAATGCTACACCTGGGGTTGTACCGAAAGGTCAGAGATGGGAGGAAGTTGTAATTATGACATTGGTGCAAATAAAAATGTGATATTCGTTGACAGCATGTCAAATGATCCTTTTAAGCAAAGTACAAGCACGCTGAGATATTGACTACCTTATACCACCGTAGAGATAAGAAAGAGGTCTCCTATCAAATATAATGAGTATCCTTTTGTATAATTAGCATGTTGGATAACCCCGAGGACTAGGATTTCTGAAATTACTTGGTTAATCCATCGAAATGGTATTTTCAAACATAGTTAACTTTTTTCTCAGAAAATTAGCTACCTCATTTGCTCTCAGCACAACCTCTTCATCGCCAACTATCAAAAATCCCACTCCAAATGGAGCTGAACTGTCGAATTTGGAGTTCAGGAAAAATTTTGTATATCCCATTTTTCGTTTCAGTGATCATGTTTTCTTATACAAACCAGTGAATGTATATCGTGCTCAAGCTACTGAAGTTTAAACTACGATTTTCAGTCTATCAGATTACATATTGTCTGCCAAGACTTGCTGGTGATAAAGCGCTGGTTTGTGGCAAAAGCCAAAAAAGATGCGGCTGCCACGTATTTCCTGAGATTGTAAAAAAAACTTGGAAAGATGGATTGAGCGGAATTCGGCTCAGCTCCTGATTCACATTCGGCATTGTTTGATATGCGATCTTTGATGTAAGCCAGCTAGGGATAGTGCTTTGTATTGATAGCAAAAGAGTTAGCTAACCCTTTTTGAGACAAGTTAATCATGTTTTGGATGCAACCAAAAAATTGACTCAGAAAAATTATCTGATTGCTAATTAAGAATGGAAAGCGCAATATGCTTGACAGGACCTTTTATACTTACTTGGGTAAGTGGTATATTCTCATAATTGAGACACTACTGGCCAGCAAGGGTCGCTAAGTCGAAATCGGTCACGATAATTTGCATACCGTTGGCGAGAGCTTGTAACGCTATGGATCGCTTTTCCTTATCTGCAGAAAGCTTTTGGAAAAGAAGTTATGAACATTCTTTGAATGAGCAAAGATGTACTGATGGCCGAAAAAATAATTCAAATCAATTACTACAGCCTTTCTAAACTTCAAATAAGGCAGTGGAGAGTCCAGTTACTTTATATTACCAACTGCTTTTGCCTGCTACACCAGTATATGTACTTTCTGATATTTCGTTTGTGCAAAGGTGGTAACGATTGATTTTGTCCGAGCACTTAGTTCACTTTTCTCCTGGACGCTCACGACTTCACCAGAGGTGCTTCGCATTATGAAAAGCAGGTTTGGAGTCAACGTTCTAAGCTTCAATGGAACGCAGTTTGTGGTAATTGGCCACTTCGATTTCGTGACCCTCCTTGTTAAGGGGGAAGGGGAGGGATGTATCTAGCGCTTGTGTGCCGCACTATTGCTCGACCCTATTTATGAGTCACTAGCTTGCTTACCCGGCTCCGCTGGGTCCTGTCACTGTAATAAAGGTTCCATCCCTATCCCTGTACAGCCTTTCCTTGTGCCCACTTCTATACTTCATTTCCCATTCCGTGTGTTGTTTTCGAAATCAGCATGCTCGATTACCCCTGTGCCAACTCCCAGCCCTTCAGCTCAAACTTTGCAAAAAATCGATAAAATCGATATCGATCGATAATGAGTAGCCTATGACACGCTTCCTGCCCCGGAGTGTATGTGTGCCAAGTTTGGTCCAAATCGGTTCAGAAATAAAAATTTCTATTCCGCACGTACGTACACAGACAGACAGACAAACAGACACACATTCAGCTTTATATATAAGATTGAAAAACGAGTAGAGCACTTCTAGAGAGCAAGATTTAGCAGGCAACGCAAGCTTTAGGTCTGATTATTGGGAGATCGCTTCAATCGTTTTTGGTTTCAGTCCTACTTTTGCCGCAGGGAATGTGCTTTTGGCATTGAAAAATTATCAGGGTGTCTCATAATAATTTACCTTTACCCTTTTTACCCTAAACATCAGCATTTCTCAAGAACTAGGGCACCTAGAAAAAGCACAACATGATCGTGCTTCTGTATGTTTGAGCTATATGACCACGTGCGTGGGAGGAGCTCAGAACGCCTAGGGACGGATTTTGCCATTTTACTCCGTTCAATTTCTTTTTATTTTCAATGGAAAAAAACGGAAAGTGTACAATTGAATGCTCGATGTGTCAAGCATATGCTAGGATAAATAGAAGATTCTTAAGATTTTTTGAAGCAGAGATACGATTTTTGACAGAAAAGTTCGTTTTTGACTGCTATCAGATTTGAGCTCAGAACTTCACCTGAAATACGATTTGGCTCTTGGTAGCCGTCTTATAGAGCTTGCTTTGCCCTGTCGAATAATTACTCAACAAGCATCAATTAAAAGAAAGATACAAATGGCGACGGTTGCACTAAAAACGGTAAATAGTTCTGGGACAACCTAATTAATTGTTGTAATCCGCAACATACTTTCTCTCTAGTAAACATTTGAACCATTGGTTGAGACTGCATTGAGATTCCTAAAATGAAGTGTCTCGGTTGAAATGTCTCATTGGCACTGGGCTGATATCTTACAGCATCTATCAATTCTTGTGCAGCTTATTGATCAATCGCATCGCATTTCGCTTTAAGCAAGCTTTTGAGGTTACAAAGATCAAAGTTTTGAGTGTCCTCTTCGTCCTTTCAAAGATTCACATCTTAGGGCAGCAAATCTCATTGCCAAGAATTTTGTACTTTTGGGAGAAATGAGTCTGGATCTCACATGTAGGACGATATTTTTGTGCTAATACACTTAGGCAATGCCCGCTTTCACAACAATCTAATGTTGAAAGTAAGAAAACTTCTTTCAAAAATTGTCGGCAAATACCAGCTACCCTACGAGTAAATCAGTAACATGTTAGCTGCACTTTTTAAGCATGTTGATGATATGACCATTAGATTGTGCGGAATCAATGCCTCTTCTTTACCTTGTCGCAGAGGGTGGAAAAATGGCTGTACATGCAGTGACCGCCAAAAAGTTGCGGACAAGCCGCCTTCCTTTTTTCACGCTCATTTTC